TTCGAAAACTATACAATTTCGCCCGCAGTCCTACGAACTCCGTCATGATTTTACCATTATTTTCATCCTTCATCAGACCTAGAACTTTCTTATTGACTAATGGTATACCGTATACATTATCCGATGGATAGTCTGAAGTGTCAAATCTGTGTACATCGCGCTTAATTAATTCGCATACGTTGGGAACATTAAAGTGGTATATCAAGCTATCCGTGTAGGTGTACATTAATTTTGTTTGCTCGCCGAAAGTCTTCTTGATGTAGTTATAGTGAAAATCATAAATATATGTTTTAGAGATGTCCAGAATTGAAAATCCTACGTATATAGGTTTATTGAATTTAATTCTGGTACGATTCAATTCGATTATAACCATATTCTCGTCAAAGACGGTGCAGCTATGAAAATTTGGTTTTGTTATGAGAGCTTTCGCTCCATACCTCCCATCCCACTTAGTAATGAGTCTAACGTCTTTTTGCTTCCTAACGTTCTTCATTGTTTTACCAAAAACCGAATTATTCATCAGTTTGTAAAAGTTTTTCTCGAAATCAATTCTAGATTTTTTCCTCATCTCCGTATTTAAATCTATATATTTTTTTAACCATGGAGCTTGATTAAACTTTTAAACCCTATGAATTTTTGTTAATTTCATGCCTAAACTTAAGCATTGTTTTAAATTCTCATAATGAATGATGTATCTTTTTTTCGGTAGAAGTGTAGTCATTAACTTTCTCCCATTACATTGTGAGAGAGGAGGTACAACATGCTCAGGGCATAGTGGTAACTCTTTGTAAACTTCATGAAGCTCCGCGGGACACTCTAAATCTACTTCAAGTATATATCCTATAGTGGAATTATTGGGAATCTTACAAATATCCAGTCGTTCGATATTTTGCTCCCATTCGAACGAGTTGAACGGCAGGAAGTGACTCATAGCTGCACCGTACAAGTTATTGAAATCATAGTACATGAGGTATGATTTTTCTTCGGTTGGATCGAAATCCGCGCCCATATATCTATTGTTAGCCTTGGCGTATCTGTTAGTACACGATAGGTGTCTATCCCCGTGTTACGTCCGAACCAGAATGGAGGCCTAGACTGTTAACGTAGATCCTTTGATTCCTTTCGCACGCTTCTTATCCCTAGTTTCATCTAAAATTCGAAAACTATACAATTTCGCCTGCAATCCTACAAACTCCGTCATGATTTTACCATTATTTTCATCCTTCATCAGACCTAGAACTTTCTTATTGACTAATGGTATACCGTATACATTATCCGACGGATAGTCTGAAGTGTCGAATCT